CCAGGCAAGCGTCTCTTCCCTCCCATGCTGGCCAGTCTTTAGCATAACCTGGCCTGGAAATAACGAGCCGGTGGGGCGGGCGGCCTGGTTTGAACCCTCGGGACCTGCACATGTGGTTGGCGGGTTTTGAGGTAGGGCCTCCAAACGGTAGCTCAGCGCTCACCCTTGCGCAGTTCCGTCCGTCCTCAACAACTGAGAGTTACTTTCTGCCGAACATCCCTAATGTACTCCCAGGTATCCATTATTTATACAACCAACCAGTAGAACTACGATTATCAAAGGATATTGAGATGGAGATATGGAAGATAAACTAAAATATGCAGACGAAGATTGAATGCACTCAACGCCTCAGTTCTCAGCCGCCCCAACTGTGTCTTTTCCCACATTGGACTGGACTTGCCAATGACGATATAAGTACGTATAAAGCATATCAATCAGCTGCCGCTTGGGAAGCCCCTGGAATCAGCAGGGCAGTCTGTTGATCCCTGAAAGTTTTCTGCTTCAATCTCTCGCATCATGATTATATATAAACTACGTGTCGGTCGTTTGCGTTGGGAAAGAAGACAATTAAACTAAAAGCCACACTTCCGTCTGTCCTATCTGCTCTGGCGGGGTTGTTCTAATACTCCGTATGTTCCCCTCATCTGGGCCAACTTTAAAAAAAGTCTTCGTCTCGCCAGATTTGTCATAAGGACCAACCAGTCATACTGCTATCATCCATTTAAAAATAATGATAGGCGCAAAACCGCTTTTCTAGATTGCAATCGCTTGGCAGTGAAAATAGATCATTTGCCGTTAAAAAATAAAAATAAAGAAATCGTCTGGACATAACTGCTGCGTCTTCGGGTGTTTCTTTTGATTACTCTCATCCACAATGCCACCCACTTTTGATGCCGTTATCAATATTTCGAGCGTGTAACGTGACGTAATTGAGACAGATCTTCCATGGATTGTGATCACTATGCACTGGCTGCTCCGTGCATCGCCGCTCGGATCTCAGGGTCGAACGATTTTTCTCGAGTCAACCCGGACTGACGAGAGTTACAGCCGGACATGGATAAATGGGAAGAATGGATCCATCCTTGATTTTGAAATGATAATTTGCTACAGAGTGGAGATATCCACATATTTTTAAATTATATTTTCCTGTCCATATTGAGGGGCTGGGATCAAATTCTTTCTGTTTGAATCTTCTTCTTGACCTATCCGCGGACTCGGGATCTCATCATATCAGTTCACTTAATGTTTCGATTCATCAGGTTCATGCAACGTCTGGTAAGTTTACCATTTCAACGCCCAGTGGATGTCGGCTAGTTCGAGTTTGGGTTGGTTTGAGGACTTTCTCTCCATTGCTGTACCAATTGCTAGATAATGTTGGTGGGTAACTAACAATCTTAAGTCACTAGGTTCGCAATTCTTGAAGGGAGAAGTTCCAATCAGTCAGGTTAACAAACTGAAACAGAACACAATCATCAGATACATCCCCCTAGCATTTCAGAACCAAGAAGTTAATCTGGTGCTACAAAAGGATACATCTGTACCAGTCACCACTTTCACCGCCCTTCATAAAGAATATACCTGCAGAGCAACATACAATTTTCCCCCGGTCTTTAAATCCATTCGGAGGGTTTTGATACTTGCGAATGAAATGATTCATCTGACATTATTCTGGACACTGAATACCTTCACCAACCTCATTTCCTGTGTCACAAGGGTTAGAAATAATGGCGAATTTCCTCGCATATTATTCGTCGTTCGACAATGACATTTCGCTAAGGTCAGATAAAGATATCAGTGGGGCAGGGCTGCGGGGGAAGATACAATTATCATAGGTTCCTTTTGGATGATCAAGAATATATGCAGCATTTCTGTTCTTATCGTTTCGACATTAACTACAGTTTGAAATTTGACGAGGGGAATTGAGTCGCATCTCACTCTTTGTCCAGCACGAGCACAACGTGGGGGGATTCTATCACAATGGTGGCAGGGAAGACATCGACTAGTTTGTTACACTTATCGCTCAGCAAGCCTAAAACGTTTATCACAACCTCAATTGAACATCATGCAGTACTGTTTTTGCATGTTCGTTAAACTAACTTGGCACGGTGTCAGACAGCCTGCAGGCAAATGCGCTCCGCTGAATTAAAATATGATCCCCGGGCGTGATTAGTCCGCTCCACCCATCCACACAAGTTGTCGGTCGATCTTGTCGAAATTTTCCCTGCGAATCAGCATAGTATCGTCATGATTTTGCGGGGAAAAAAAAAGAAAAAGAAAAAGAAAAAAGAAAAACGAAAAAGGTCCAGGATGTGGAGTGCATCTTTTAACAACTTATCGCAATGTTCCCGTTCCCCGGCGCAGCTCAACCATAGTTGCACCATATATTTATTGAATGCAAATGCAGACCGAATATATATACGATGCACTGTTAATGGCAGTTCGGATCCATGGATGCATCCATTGCCCTTTGGACCCCCTGACCTATTGTTCGGACGCACATGTATCCCGACAAGCCGACAAGGCCTGTAGCATCAATATACTCTAACCCAGCCATGAGCACGTTGATAGAAGGATTTCATCGAAAACCTCCCTTTGTTCGTTTCCTCACCGCTAGTGTTTGGAGCGGAGGTGTGCCGCATCTCCTATTTGCTGTCAGATGGAACCCCTCATCTCCGCTGCACGAATGCAGAATACACTCTCCAAACCTCGAATCCTTGACCGAGAACATGGGTTATTCTTTAATATATTTTAAGTTGCTGATTGTGCATAACTATATGTATGCACTAATACACTAAAATATGAGGTGTATCGACATCGCTTCCATAACCTTTGAGTCTTGAGTTTAGAGCTGGATTTTATGGGTAATTGAAGCCATCATCCTTCCAGTGGTACAAAGGATTTTCATGTTAGTTACGGAGTGGCTAGTTAGTTGATCGCCAGTCTGCCTTGTAATATTATTACTTGCAGATATTTGTTAACTAACCAACTGGCTCGGATAATAGGGTGTGGCTCAATCAGCTTGAGATCTGTCTATAAAAGTATAAATGGTCGTGACACTTGATTTCTTCTCTGACCGACAATGCCACAGACAATAATACATCGTGGTACCTGCGAGTGGGCCGGATATCAAGTTCCTTCGTTCCACAAACCTACGAAGTCCAATACTCTGACTGTCTCTGGTCTGGGAGTCACTGGACATGATGTTTGTCTTACTTTTGTGACAATCCTCATGTGAGATGGTTACAGGAACTAGGACTCCATCGCAGGGGCCACACAGAAATCATCCCGAGACTCTTCCTCGCTTGTAACTACGGTCTTATCTCCATGCTCCACCCACACCACACTTATTATATTTTATTCGCTCTGGTAGTGACCATGACGCAATTTCCAACCTGTAGCCAGTTCTCACGCATTATCTCACACACACAACAACCTGCACCAAAGCTGAAGAAAAGAGCTGGCGCTTATCTTCAAATTATTTGTCCTGCAAATAATTCTATCAATACTCCGTACTCCCGGTGTTTTCACCTTCTTCCAGCCCACCGGCATGACTTCTCAGCCACGCCACCCAAGAAAATGAGGTCATCAACAACCGTGCGATACTCATTAGAAAACTTTGCTGATACCGCACAGGCGCAGAAGTCATTTGGGCACGTTCGTCCCGCACGGCACGTAGCGGCTGACCCAATTGACCAACCTAGTGGCTCATCTAGATAAAGAGTTAAGACCACTTAAGTTAACTAGCTGCATGGTCAAAAAGATGTTCACGCATTTGCGCAAAACCTTCTCTAGGTAAGTAGTTATGGTAAAATGGCCGGGATTATTAATGATGAACAACAAGAAAGAAAGTTACTGTACGTACATAATATACAAGCAGAGGATAATCATCCGACGAAACTGACCGTGTTTGCGGTTGTCGCGGCGCGCTAACCAACACAAATGGAAAGGATCACGATGTTGCTTTTCCTCCGCCCTGTCCATCACATGGACAAAGCCAAGTCGTTTTAGTTTCATCTAGTTGAAATAATCAAATTTCTTAACCTCGTTGGAGCGATTCACCAGCATCGTTCAAGATCTTGGAAACTAGACCATCCATCCCTGTTTGTAAAGGATGCACAAATATCGGAGTGCCCGCTTACTATGATTATTATCTTATCTTATCTCGAGATCTCGTATTTTTTATCTTTCAAAAGCTCTTACTCCCAAGGTTGAAATTGCCCCTACTCATGCACCTTTAGGGTAGGTATAATAAATATACCGTATATATATACCCCGAGCATCTCAGTTTCAACCCTCTCTCCATCCTCAAGAACCACCGTTACCCGAACTAGGGGAGAGTGCTCCAGCAGACGTAATTTCGTATACTCATTCCTATCTTGCTGCTTCTCGTACTTTTTTGAACAAATATCCAATCGGTGACATTACGTACTTACAACCCCATTGAAGCATAGTTCTCAGAATCTTCCTTCCCCCCCCCCCCCCCCCCCCACCGGGTATCCACGGTTGCCCTCACAGGAATCATATTAACATCCAATTCGTGCATGGTTCTGATAGTTCTACACCAGGGGAGTCAATATCCAAGACTGGACTTCTCTCTACATGGCATGCGAGCACTAGGTTAACTTGAGCTTTGCCAACAGTGGTAACACTTTTATCTCATCTTTTGCTTATATCTTGACATATAACTACATATGCACATGCATAACGCATGAATAAGAACCTATCCACAGCTCAGCAACTAGTTTCTCACGCTCCACTTCTAACTTAACTTTATTTGCTATTTCTCCGGCGTACAATCCCAATAGCCAAGGATTGCTACGCTTAGGTTTGTATGCGCTGCTTGGCGCATAACTACTTGATAGCTCCCAGAGTAATAGTGTCGAGACGAAACATCCACAAACTTCTTGCCCCACCCACGAAAAGAGAAGAGGATCCGTGTGAAAATAGGTGCAAAGCTGTGGAAGGAAGCGTGCAGTCTGGGAGTTAGTTGATAGTCAAATTCAATGACCATGATCTTCAACAACCTCCTCCCCACCACCGATCATCGGAGATGGTCCTCCTGGCGGATTGGCCTGGCAGTTTTGAGCGGAATAACACAATGGCACGGATAAGGAACCTAGGCAGGGGGAAGAAGATTAGTCGTATTTTGGGGGTACCTTTTACATCCCCACATTGTCGTTCAAGGGGGTGGCTGGATTTAAGTCTAGTTACTGAACTACTTAACCCTCTCGGCACCTACCTAAAACTTGAACCGTTGAAAAGTCGATATACTTTGCCCAGCTCCGGGCCTCGTCTCTCTTTCCCTGGTCGACGGTCGTCCCGTAGACCGTGTCATGTCTGTGACTTTCGGGCATGGGCTGACTTCCAAGGTTTTCTCTGACCTCTTCTTCGCTTCCCCCCGCTAATGTTGAAAGTTCAGATACAGAGTCCGCTCGCCCGTCTCAACCAGGCTTCCTCTTCTAGCGCGGGGTATCCTTTCCCCCTTTTGTTGTTGATTGGTTGGTTGTGTTTCATCCCTTGGAAATCACAGAAGTAGAGTGTGGTCGTACTAATGCGACCAGCATTATTCCTTTTTTTTTTTTTTTTTTTTTTTTTTTTTTTTGCCCTGTACCGAGAGGAGAACAGAAGCTCGGTGTGCGTTGAATGAGTATCAAAATTGGTCTGTAGTTAACCAGCAACCGTTTGCACCTTGAAATTTGGATACGCCGTCAGCTTCCCCCATTATCGGCTCGACGATTAACGTTAGTTATCCTGAGCCATTAATCTAACTAAGGTGCATTGTTTACATTCGGGATTGTCTGAGGTATAAGAGAGCGTGCTGGGTTTCGACTGCATGGCTGTTTAATATTGTATATTTTATCCATCACTACCTTCAGCCAGCAACTTGTTCTCAAATATGCGTTCCACATCAGAGGCATCAGGATTTGGGGTGTCGTCAATTCCCAGTTGCTGGTCGACAGCAAGAACCGCGCTATCCTGGATTTCGTTAACATTTAGTTACCTTTTAACGTTACCAAGTATCAAGCGCCCCACGCTGCAAGAATATATTCATGGGCATATGTCAAAACCTCTGAGAACAACACGTGTGAAAGAAGCAAGCATCACATAGCTACTAAATTTGATTTTGGTGGGGATTTGTGTTAAAGAATACGGGGAATGCTAATCGTGTCACCAACATCGCGAGAGAGTGTTGCTCATTGGCCGGATACAATCAGGAGGAATGATTTTCTGCATGGCAGCCGCAGAGGGGAAAGTCTCAGCGCAGAGCAGCACTATCGTTGGCTAACTCAATGATCATCGTGCGATCGACTCGTTAACGTGGTTGAGTGGATATCAAGCGTTAGGCCATCTTTCAATTAAGTATGCAGGATGCCATCATCTGGAGATCTATCTTTCACGGTGTGGCAAAATCTGACGGAGCCGGTGCCGGGAGCGGAAACACCTCCCTCCTATAGCCTTATATGGTGCGCCGTGTAGTTAAGGCCCGAATTTCACGGTAAATGTTGAGCGGATCAACTGCCAACTGTACAGTGTGTGTTGCAGCCATTGCAGGCACGGATGTCAAAAGTCCATGAATGGTCGATATATTTGAGGTTTCGTGGGCAGTAGCACGCCGGGGTGCATGTGGACACATGGTTGAAGTAATAAAAATATTTCTGGGTAGGCAACAAAATCCCGACCAATCCTGAATCTATGCTTGGAAGGGTAGCTATTTGACGTCAAGGTATTGGCATCCCCTATGGTGTCCTAAGGGAAAACTAGTGTTTGGCGAGACTTCATGTGTACTTGGGCGTTCGCTGTGCTGTGTACCATCGAGGAGATTCTCATTGATGAGAAAGTTGGAGCACATGCTTTAAATTTAGCTCAGGTGATAATGTCGACTGAATCGCTGGGTTTGGGGCGTCGCTGAAGGCTACAGAGAGCCAAGCACCACTCAGTTCCTCAAGTTACCACTTTGAACGTTCACTGCAGGATGCTAAGGGGTCCTGGAAATTGTTCCTCACTGATTAGCTCTTTTCTGTGTCGCTTCCTGCATGATCTGCTCGCCTCCTTTCTCCTCGAAAGCGTTGCTCAGCAGACACGACTATGCGAGCTCTGCCTCTCGTCTTCTACAAGATATTCTGAGAGGCTCTTACAGCGGGCTGAAGCTCCAATCATTCAGCTCTCATGAAAGAGTTCCCCCGAAAAGGTAGATAGAAATGGCGGCTGGCTGCGCCTCGAGAATCTTGCAATTGGAGGAATTTCATCTGTCAATTCTAATTATGAAGAATAACTTCTCGTTTCATCTTCTTTCTGTGCAAGGTTTTGGGTCTGTCCCAATTGTCCCTTTTTTTAATTTTTAATTTTTAATTTTTTTTTTCTTTTTTTTTTTTTTTTTTTTTTTTTTTTTTTTTTTAATTTCTCTCTCTCTCTCTCTCTCCTTTTATCTTTTTTTTTGTCCTCATCTTCCAAAACACTTTCCTGAATTATGAAAAATTATGTATTCCTCTCCAGTGATGTCCTTACCAGCATCTGGAGGGAGAGAACCCACGTATCTCGCGCATCTAGGGATTTTTCACAAAAGGCCGCCACAGAAAGGTAGAATTTTTGGGAAGCCGAACAACACCCATTATTTGTTTTTATGCATCTTTGCCCTGTTGTTTCACCCTCCCCTCTCCGATGTGAGTTTAATGTGCAACAGTTATGCCCACTGGAATTTGTTGACGTTCCAAGATATCCAGTTTGCCTGTTGCTTTGCAATGTAACCTCACATGCCCCTACTTAGATATGATCCCACGGATAAGTTATACGGCCAATTTCTTTTTTTTTTCGAAGAAATGGAATGGAACACAGCTAATGGCTGTTGCAATCCCAACTGAATACTGGAGACGGAAGTGTCACTTGGAGCTCATGAAGGCCGAGCCATTTTTGATATCCCGTGATTCTGTGTCACGTGAGCTATGTTAGGGCGGGTCCATTAATTAGTTATGACGTAACTAACTTCAGTTGACTCCCCCCAACCGTGCCCCAACCATGCCCTAGATAGTCTAACTGCTGGAGTACAGGTGGACAACGACGGTCTGTGAAATGATGTTGTTCGTTGTAATGGATTAATTCTTGTTTGGAGATACAATCCTCAAATTTCCAGTTTAAGTGTATGGAAAGACATGGCTCCATCCAAAGACGATGGCGAAGATTATGGGCTTCCCGATTTCCACACGAGATTTATACAGGACAAAGAGCTAGAACAGTTCGAGCACGCTCTCAGTGCACCGGAGGCTTTACCTCTTGTTGCGATTAATGATTGGCGCCCCATACGTCGAAAGGTGCGGAAACCCGGGTCTCGTCGCAAGGTACCCAACAGAACAGTGGACGAAACGAGGGAGGGATATGTATACACACTCCTCAAGTGGCCGTTGCTCTTAATGGTCATGGCTTGGATTTTGATTCTCGGTATTCTATACCTTTTGACTCGACTATACATCTACCTTTACGAACATTTTGTCACTTGGAGAGGGAGGAGACAAATCTTGAGAAGGGAAATGAGGGCTACAAATAACTATGGGGAATGGAAACAGGCAGCAAAGAAGCTTGATGCTTACTTGGGCAATGATCGATGGAAGGTAGTGAATGAATATGCATACTACGACCATGCAATCATTAATAGGATCACCAAACAGCTGAAGTCCCTGAGAGCTAAGGTGGAAAAGGTGGCAGCCAGCCGTGCCAATGGTGTAGATATCAGTGACACACTGGAAGACCTCCGGGTTCTCCTGGAAGGGTGCGTCAAGAACAACTTTGGGGGTGTTGAGAACCCACGACTATACAGCGAGACGTATTTTGGGACCAAAAACCTAGTTCAAGAATTCATCGACGAAGTACACTCTTCTCTTCGACTCATCGTTGAGAGCAAGCAAATTCCCAAGGATGTTAAGCAAGAGTTTTTCAAACACCTGGAAACAAACTTTGGCCGCACAGCATTATGCCTTTCTGGGGGAGCTACATTCTCGTACTACCATTTCGGTGTCGTCAAGGCTCTCCTTGATAATGGCGTGCTCCCAAATATCATTTCGGGGACTTCAGGGGGTGCTCTGATAGCTGCGTTGGTAGCTACCAGAACGAATGACGAGCTTCAAAAGCTACTTGTACCGTCTCTAGCACATAAAATCAATGCTTGCGAGGACTCGTTTCAAACTTGGATAGTACGATGGTGGCGAACGGGAGCTCGATTTGACACACTCGACTGGGCAGAAAAATGCAGCTGGTTCTGCAGGGGCTCTACTACGTTCTTGGAGGCATATCAGCGAACTGGCCGGATTCTAAATGTTTCTTGCGTTCCCTCTGATCCTCATTCTCCTACGATTCTTGCAAACTATCTCACCTCTCCCCACTGTGTCATTTGGAGTGCAGTCATCGCTTCTGCAGCCGTCCCTGGTATTTTAAACCCTGTTGTGTTGATGATGAAGAAACCAGATGGAACCCTTGCCCCATATTCGTTTGGGCATAAGTGGAAAGATGGCAGTCTGCGGACTGATATACCACTCAAGTCATTGGATATTCACTTCAACGCCACCTTCCCGATCGTATCTCAAGTGAGTATTGCCTACTAGTCCACTTCACTTTGAAAAATACTAACAGTATTCCTTAAGGTCAATCCACACATAAGTTTATTTTTTTTCAGTTCCCGAGGTAGTGTTGGCCGTCCTGTCACGCATCGCAAAGGCCGTGGGTGGCGTGGAGGATTTCTCGGATCGGCTACAGAACAATATATCAAATTAGACCTAAACAAATGGCTCAAGGTCCTCAGGCATCTCGAACTTCTTCCCCGTCCTCTGGGTCAGGATTGGAGTGAAATATGGCTACAACGGTTTAGCGGCATTGTTACCATTTGGCCAAAATCTACCCTCTCCGATTTATTCAACATCCTCACTGATCCCACCCCTGAACGATTAGCCCGCATGATACAAGAGGGTCAACACAGCACTTTCCCAAAGATTTTGTTTATTAAGAACAGGATGAAATTGGAGGAGGTCATCTCCCGGGCTCTGGAGCGGGGTTCACGCGTTACAGCTCGTCAAATTAACACGCCTCTCCCGCCAGAAATTGATCCATCATCAGCCTATGATGGCCAGCTGGATCAACACGCTGTCGACTATGTGCCAGATGCCTCTGCGGAGGAAAATCCAGACCGTTATGCGGATAAAAATGATACAGGACTTTCCGAACCAGATGGCCGAATTCCCTTTAATCGTCGCAACAGCGTTATGGAGGAGATTAGAAGGCAGTCGGCTGTGTTCTTCGACGACGTCGATGATACTTGCCCAAGCGAGGATGAGAAACCAGCGTATGAGCGAAATAAAGGAACGAGAGTTGGAAAATTGATCTGATATAAATCTTTGGTGGTTAATTCAATTGTGTTTATTATCCTGCGCTTGTTGGTTTTGAGTGAGCCTTTTTTTTTTTTTCAATGCTTTTGTTCTGTTGATAGGCGACTCAGAAAGGTACTTATATAGATCAATGTGGTTATTGGGAAGACGACAGATCGACTTTGGCGGGCATTGGACCCATATATTTGACATGTTATATATTCCTTTTGTTATGTATGCATAGATGCCCATATAGAATAGTAGTTCTATTAGCTAGGATATGACCTTTTTGGATATTTAGCGCGTGATTTTTAATGAAGCACGTATGCTGAGGCTCATCACATCGCTATGCAAAAAATCCTGAGTTATAGAAAAATGTACAGATAGTGAGCCTGTTTACTAGATGATAAGCCACCTATCAGTGACCTCCTTTGCCAACTTAGTCTCCCCAGAGAAAGAATAAAGACATTGTAAAGCAAATGCAGCTTCGCGAGAGAAATCCTCCACCCAAACCCTTTTATCTGATGTTCCATCACCAACAGCCGTAGCCATTTCTTTCTGCTTCTTAAACTTCTCTCGCTCAGCTTCAATCTCTCCACTGAACAAAAGACATTGCTGATATCCCCGTACAGCTAAATGCATCAATCCCAGCATCTGCCAGACACGCGCAAAGTTGAATTCCACCTCCTGGCGTTCTTGAGGAATCGGACTCTTTTCTCGCACACGTCGGTATTCTTGCATAAACGACAGTCCCTGCATGATAAGATAGTGTCGATTATCAGACTGTCGTTTTAAGGAATGGTGGATGTAACTGAGGCCGATAGATAGGAGAACCATTGGATTCTCTGGAGCGAGGGCGTAGGCGCGGAAAAAGTAGTTAAGGGCATTTGTGAAACTTGCCCCGGCGTAAAGAATATGGCCATAGAGGACTAGGAGTGGAACATCCATGTCCTCTGCAGGAATGGGTTGTCCAGATGCATCCTTGGTCGTCAAGGTTGCGCGTTCTTGAAAGACGGAAGCTCGAGTACGGCGGGCCGCAGTGGGCCGCAGCGGATCATCTGGAAGGGTGTAGTCGATTGCTTTTATTTGGCGTAGCATGAATTTCATGCTAGGAGACGAGTGGAACAGGGATTTACGTGGATCACCACAAAGTCGACTTAGAGCTGCGAAGAGACGGTATGTGTCGGTCACAAATTGATACTCTTTCATGAACCAGCGGGAAATGTTGGAGAGCGTCTCTTCATCCTTGAGTCGGAGAGCGCAGGCTGTTATATGTTGTTAGGGTAAGGAGCAGAAGGCTCGGGGCTGGGAGTAACCAACTTACTGAACCAGCAGGTATAAATCTGAAATTTACTTGGTTTGGAATGATACCAGACGCTGGCATCACCAGCCGCAGAAAGGGTATCGTAGGCTTCTTCCGTTTGGCCCTGCCCTGCCAGGACGAGAGCATATTCCAAAAATATGTCTAACCACTGTTTGAATGATATCGAGTGGTAGTCATTTGGTATCGTGGCAGGGTCAATCTCTGGAGTACCTGCATATTTTATTAGCCATCTCTCAAATTTTAATATCAAATTCTGTACCTACCTAGCGATGCTTGAAGTCGCCCTGCCATTTCTTCCACTTCGTCCATTATTGTAGTCGATTTCAGTCGTCCAGCTTTTCGTTGCGCTTCTCTGGAGTATCCCAGGAACATCATATGCCGTTGCATTGGGAAAAAGATCCGATTTGATCGAAAATCTCTCAATAGAGCATCTGCGATATCCAGCCAATCTTCTGTTGCGTCTTCTTGGCCCTCCCTCATCTCTGGTCCAAGCTCTAATAACTTAGAGTACAGATAGCTAATATGGTCGGTACCAACGTCCTCCTTCTTCCCTTGCTTCCGCTTTTTTGAAACTGGTGTTGCAGATGTCATGAGTCCGCCGGACACACCCGCTGGCGAAGATGAAGTTGCCCAATCATCATTTTCTGACCCAATCGGACCCTCGTACGTTGCCATCGCAAACTCTCTGGATTCCGTCGAACGGAATTCTTTTGCAAGTTGCAAGGCCCTAGAGCCAAATCTTCGTCTCCGCCTTGGCATTGACTCCCGTCGTCCCAGTTCAATCGCTTCGTTAACATATTTCAATGCTTGCTCAATCAATCCTAACTTTTCGTAGAACTTTGCCAACTTGGCTCTCGCTTCGATGTTGTTCTCATCGTATTCAACAACCGTTAAATAACAATTTTCAGCTGCTTCATCATTTTCACAAGCCGTATTACATTCTGCCATCGACATGAAAAGGCTGGTATCAGCATATTCACGACTGCTTTGAAGTGGTTGGTAATAAGTAAGAGCATCTTGATATAATTTTGCATCTTTGAGAGCATCTCCTGCTTCCCTAAAGAGATCTCCGAAGTCATAGAGTAGGGCGCCTTCTGAGGCGTCATCCGGGTTGAGCCAGGAGAAATGAGACTATTCGACATCAGCTCTCTACTCGATTAATAATCAAATCTTGCAATTGCATACCAAGGCTTCTTCCCTGTACTGAAGACCCAGTTTCAGTCGATATATTCCTAATCTCACGCGAAGTTCCAAGGGAAGGCCAATCCCGTAAGACTCAGTCGGATATTTATTGGGATCAAAAAATGGCATATCTACTCGACGAGGAAAGTCTTCAGCATCCCACTCCCGGTCGTCTTCAACGATGTCGTCCCATTCTGTATCGTCCTTCCTTCCGAGTAGCCACCGAGAAAGGGATCTCAACTGAAATATCCCCTGTTCATAATCATTCAAGTAGCTGAAAAATTCAGCATAAATGTTCACATCAGACCAGGTAAAGTCAGTGGCTTCCTCCAAACTCAGCGAAGTATAATACGAGATGCTTTCGTCGTATCGGCTTTTTGCCTTGTGAACCTCGTTTAGATCAATATAAGTTTCTGCAAGGTGCCGAAGAGCTGTTGTATTGTGCGGCAGATCTTTCAGTAACCTTTCATACTCTTGTGCGGCTTTCCCATTATGACCCAGTTCGCGGTACACTGCCGCTCTTTTAAATCGTATGTCGTAATTCTTTTGATCAATCTCAACAATGCGGCTATAACAATATACCACATCTTGCAGTGCTGAAGAGCGATCCTCTCCAGCCCTTTCCAGGATCAATTTCGCCACTTTCATCCAAACGGCAGGGTCCTTTGGGCGAGTGTGGGCACCACTGAATAGTGCGGCCAGCGCCTTGTCCTTCTGACCTTGTGCAAGAAAAATCTCCGATAATAGAGAATGCGCAGCAAACATTTCAGGGTTTATCTGGATGGCTTGTTTAACCAGGACCGTGGCTCTCTCATAGTCGGTATCAATGAAAGCAGAGGTCGCTTCGGAATGTAGATTTTTGAATTCCAAACTAGGTTCGATTGGCTTTCTGGGACCCCTTTTGATGCCTTTCCCGCCTCGCGCACCGAAATTAGATGGCCCATCTTTTGCGTAACGGCCCTTTCTTCTCCTACGACCATACAATCCTAGATCGGGATCGATTTCCTCTCCTGATTCCTGATTTTCCTCTTGAGTTTCGGGTTCACTCCTTTAAGACAAATTAGTTCAAAATCTAACCTAGAAGGAGTTATGGGAGCATATTCCCTCCTTACGAGCTTTCTTCGGAAGTTTGAATATCTGGGACATTTGCGTAAGCCTCTATTCCTTCAAGAAACCACTTTTGATTGTTCCTGCAAGAGCCTTCATGCTCTTCATTAGCATGGGGCACTTCACTACCGGAAAGACCCGATTCACTCTCGGAAACCATGGAAATATCTTGAACCTGTTCAGCTCCCGAGATGGCAGGCTGTGTACCATCTCCCCCGGCTAGGTAAACGCTGGAGGGGATATCAGGATAAGAGCTTTCATAAGAAGGTTGGCCAGTTGCACCACCCTCAGTTCCCTCCATGGCAGGCTTTGAAGTTAATTCCGGAGATTCAGTGACGGGTTTTTTACCCTGTGATGTGGGTGGCCATACTACTCCTACGAGAAGAGGCTCTTGGAGAGGAGCTGAGAACAAGTTAGAATGGTTTAGAGGTTAATACCGCGAGTTAAAGTAAAACTCATGGAAACATGGCTAAGTACCTAGACAGCTTTTGGGTGTAAAGTGGCGCGGAACTCGAGTCGTATTGTCGCCCGCGGGATCATATTGAAAAACGCCGGTCACGTTACCTGTCCTATCAGTTTTAAGGTTCCGCCCGTCTAATTTTGTGGCACGTGATTGGTCGGAGGGACAGCAACGCTTGATTGGTCACATCCCGCCAAAGCATCGGGCAGTGGATTTCGACAGGTATGCGTGTCTCAATTTCCAGTAAAATCTATGAATGGCTTTTTTTTTTTTTTTTTTTTCCACTTTACTACCATCTCTACGCGGTTCTGATCCAAGATGAGGAGGGTTTCAAGGAGCTGTAGACTGCCTTTAAATCCACAGATACACGGAGGGTCTATCTGCGATATTTTTGACTGATATTTGTCTGTACATATAAAGTGCTCAGGCGGTGTCTTCGAGTCGGAGGTAAGTTTCAAGCAACTCTTGAGGAGAAACTTGCATTTTAGTTGTATGGGTTTTCAATTTGTTGGAGAGTACTTTCGCTTCTGATAACTTTTGGCAAAATGATTACCTACCTATTAGGGACGTTGAAAAGTGAAGAGCGAAAGGGTTTAAACCTAGGGATAAACGACATGAAATGATCAAATGATAGGAAGAAATGCGCCATCACACATCAGAGACTCATAAAATTCGGTCGAATACTCCTCTTGCTGAGAAAGGCTTTTGAGAATAAAATCACTGAAACATTACCCATCTTTATGGTTGACAACATGGCTGCATTGGCGTAATTATTGTCATCCTTGTAAAAATCCTCAACTGGTTCGGGACCTCCAGAGATAGCAATGATGGCAGAGTCGGACACCGGAGTTCTCTACTTAATTCGTCCATAATGATTCGACCTTCAACGCAGACTTTCATATCTGTCTTCACATTTTCTTCTTATAACCCCTGTGATCTCTGATGTGGGGTATTGAGAGGTTGAGAAGGAATCTCCATTAGCTGCTGTTGAAAGGTGTCGGGTTGAAGCTGCTAAAATTCGTCCCACTACAGCTGTCTGAGCTCCTAAATTTCATCAGCAATCCATGATCAATGTAGATGTCATGGTGTTTGTGAACTTCTGAAGGGAGCTGGCGTCGTCTTCAGCTCTTGAGCCCATAGCGTTCCACTAGATTGGGTATCTTCAGCATAGATCTCAGTGAAAAGTCTCTGTATATGAAGCTCATTGCTAACATGATCAACCAAAATGCACGGTTTCTCTCAAGATCCGATAACTACAAAAATATCCACAGGTCTCGAGAGATCGGATCGTTGCAGCTGCTAAGTTGAACTCGGGCTGTTTAGCATTCCCGTTACATCGGTTTCAAACTATGCTGAGCTTTCATGAGAATCCGTGCTCGGCACCCGCGAGGAACTTCCAAACGTTTCTAAGAGAGAGAGTTCGTAGTTATCAAATAGCGGAGAATTTTGTAGACCAATGGCATATGTTCGTCCATTCTCTGCGGACAATTTGAATTCCTACCAAAATCACGCATGGATAGGGCGCTATCCTTCAACGGGCCTAGTGCCACGGCATTCGCAACACTCCCCTTTGTTCAATCTGTATCGAAAAACCTAAGCCGAGCTTATACCAGTTCGAATTTGAGATCTATCTAACCGCTGCTAATTATACGCTGGACAGCCTACCATCTAGGTTTTGCGGAACATCACCAATGAATATAAATCCCTTGAGGAATGAGGGCTCGGGTGTGCGCCTCTCGACTGATTTATGGTTGTACATAAGTAATATACTCCAATGTTAGATCGACAGCTCCCACCTAAACACGCTAGGGGCCGATTTGAGAAATTTGGCCGTTCTAGTTGACCCCAAGTGGCTCCCGTTTAACCCCGCGATGCCAGTTTCGGCTAAAAGCTTCCCGCAACGCTTGTTAGTGCCAAGCGATGGCGGAGATGGGGATTTCTCATTCAGAGTTTCACGGAGCCAGCATGGGTATCCCTCAGACAGTCACTTTCAGTCCAATAGAAACGGACGTTGTTGTTCCAACTATGGGCTTAGGTGCATATGTGGCGCCATCATTCGGCTATTTTTGCAATAGCCGCTATTGCGTTCAGGTGAAGGGGGAAATTCTATTATTGGTCCCTTTGAACAGGCAGCATGCGAGCGATTTAACCGCTAGCATGGCCCGAGGGGTTTTTTGCCTAACCTCTGATCCGTTTCGAGAATGAGGCCTGAGAGTTTTGCGAGGGGGATACTTGAATTTCTGGCAAAAGACGACGTTGGTGCTTGATCTTATTTAATCAGTATCGAAATCATGAAATGGCCTCTCCGCGGACTATTGCTCGTAGCAATTTTGTTGGTTACGGTCTCGTTTCTCTATTTGCCTCAATGGAGAGCACCTGTGGTTTACAAGGGCAGTCAGAAATATTTCACAGTACGGCGATTCCGTCCGCTTGTTTTCACCGCGATGACCTATCATGTGGGATTTTATGTCATTTTGCTGATGAACTCCTCGTGGAACTATAGTGGGATATTCCGGACTTCGCATACTTCAATAATCAGTTCCTTCTGCACCTTTCGTCGGCCGTTAAAAATCCTCTTCCTGCCCGAAGACTGTTATCGCCTGGGATCATCTGTCCTGCCGTCCGCGGAGTTGATAAATCGCAGCTGATACCGGTCACCGATGTTTTTGATGCATGGGGACTTGAACAACTGGGGTATGACACAAGGCCGCAAGTCGCTACCAACTTACATGATGCCCCCACTCTAGTCGTGAATTACACGAGGCAAATCGCAGAAACGCAGGAGCAGGTTGTCCGAATTACTGCCACAACCGAATCATACTGGCAGCGGTCCGCCTTTGGGTTTGTACGGGATGCATTCATTCTTCCATTTCGAGCGGCGCCATGGAGAAAAGCCGCGCAACTATTCATCCTGTCAACACCTCTCGATGCGTGTGTAAACGATATGCTACCCGACATCCTTCCCAAAGCGCTTGCATTGCACATTCGCACTTGGCCATCAGACCTTTCCTTCGGCCAAAAGGACCCATGTCATCAGAACGAAGTACCAGTCCTCCGCAACATATTCGGAAAATGTGACTGGACGGGCTCGTATCTCTATGACAACGTGAAGCGCGCCCAGTTAAACTCGGAGCAGCCCGTGGTTATTGCAACAGATGATCGCGAAGGCGAGATTGTCCGCGACCTTGTTAAACGACTGGATGGGCGAGCGCTCTTCATGGAGATGACAGACAAGTGCAAGGATATTATTAAGCAGGCTCATCCTGAGGCGGAGTTTGAGTGGCGTTTGGCTACATACTGGCCGATTATCGAAGCAACAGCACTCACACGAGCTGAATCGTTTGTTGGATCCTTTTGGTCCACTTTCTCGCAGCTCGTCGCTATTCGGCGGAGTGAGAAACGCACGTTCTTTTTCCAAACGCGCTTGCAGGCGTTGATATGGGATTTGAGAGTCCCGGGTGGGATGCTCCTCCTTGTTGGGGTGGTGTATGCGGGGTACTCTTATTCCCGTCACATTTTGGTAAACCGGCGGAAGCGTTTGGCAGCAGCGGTGAAGTCTGAAGTCATGGTTTCACCATAACCTACCATCATTAAGTATATTTCATAAATATGTATTGGATTTGGGATTCTCACCGGGAGTTCGTTGTACCTATCGTTGGATATATTGGTATATTGTCGACAGTGCCCTTTTGGATTTTTGGATTTCTTTTCTTCCTTATAACACCATATCTCTATATTCTCCATCTCATCTGATGTTTACGGTGTTGGCATCGTTAACTCTATAGTTGAGGACATTCATAAATTTTGTATCGAATAACATATATTTATTTTGTTTCAGTTAAAGTCTATTTTTACCCGAGTGGGGCCGGTTCGGACGAAGAAGTTGGTAAGTAAATCCAGCGTACTGGATCCCTCTACTTCGTGACAGTTGTCTTTCCACATAGTTATCCTTCGAGCCCTCCTTTATACGAAACTCCGTAGTACAGGCATGTCAATGCAAATGTAAACTGCCCTACCGACCTCGAGATGTGTAACCTGTCCTGTCCTTGGGAAGTTTCAGGCCACTGCCACAAATGATATTGACAAAGGTTATGAAAGTCATCAACATCTACCCTGACTGCTGTTTCCATGATCACACCCTTCTAGATTGAAGTAAGCTGAAGAATTCTCCTACCAAACTCAATTGAACTCATATTTGAATTTTAGTTAATGTTGGCATAGTTCATTACATTGTAGAGTCTTTGGTTGAATTTTGACAACTCTCATGGTTAGATCTGAGCATGTTCCAGAAAATTTCTCGAAGTTCTTTGGGCGAGATAGAGATTCCATGTTTGACATAAAACAGGGCCATTGTCTGGTGTTTCTGAATTAAAGCTGCAATTTATAGAAAACTTCCATATTCTCCATCAACTTCCGTGAAGACAAAGAAATTATAGTCAAACACATCTCGTCACAGCTTAGAGACAGTGGATATCAAGGAAAACCGACACCTCTCCTGTAAAATTACCAAGTCTTTTTTTACAGATGGAAAGTAAACTTCCTAACAACTTTCAGAACTTCCGACAGCCTTCAGAAGAGCTCTGGAACCCGCCATTTATGACATCTTGTGGCATTGTTTCCAAGTCTTTACCCGTTGCAGAGATTTAGTTATTATATAGTTCGTCCCAGTGGAACAATCTGTTAGAACAAACTTCCCGGATCCACCTTTCCTGATTAGGGAAAGTGGCAGGCGTCAGCTGATCCAGGCACTAAACCTTGTCGGGGAAGTTTTTGACGCCCTTAGTCAGCGGGGCTCTTTCAACTCAAAAATCCTTCACCTCGTTCAACTCAAAAAGTCTTTCACCATCAACACCGTCCTTTTCCTCAGCATCATCCTCCCCGTCTTTCTCTTCCTCCCCTTCTCCCATCCTCACTCCTTCTCTATCATACTCTTCATCCGTTTCGCTATCTTCTCTTCTTTTCTCCGTAATTTTCGTCCTTTTCTGGTGGTCCAGCTCCCGACTGTCGTTCGCGGCTGTGTTTGACACACTGCTGTCTAATTTCGTATCCTCCATTCGCAGTTTGACCCACCAACTCAGATCTTAATCATCCTTCATCTTCCTGCTATTCCTCCTTATTTGTGTTTCTTTACAACCTACCCCAGTTGTCTCCATTACATCTCACACCCAATCAGTACAGCCACTGGACTGGTCTGTCTTTAATCGCTTGCCCAATCTGAACCACCTCATTCGGATCGATCTGGGACTGGAGAGCATAGTCAGCTTCCTCTATCCTACCTCGACTTTCCATCAACAGTGACTGGTACAGTCGGTGAAGCTGTTTTTCAGTCACGACCGCCATATACTTACGCAAAGTCAGCCGGTGCTGCAGGAGCTTTGCCCTAATCACATCTGTGCCCCCTTGATAATTATCCCGTCCTGTCATCTGAACGCCCATTTCCCCGCCTTCAGCCGCTCTTCTTGTTGCTAGCATGGCTAGCCATATTATTGGAAATAGAAACAGCACTCCCGAAGCCTCGAAATCCTCGCTCCGACCTCCATCATCCCGCACTCTTGGTGGTGGTTCCCATCAATTGCGTGCCTCCGCAGACATGTCATCGTTTGCTTCTCCTCTCTCTGCCAGGGGGATTCGCCCTTCCTCAGAAGTCTTCTACAATCAGCAATCGCATGCTCAGAACAGCGATGACATGGACAAAGCTGCCCAGCAGTGGATTGCTGATATTGACCAGTATGAGACTACCTTGGAGGAGATGGCTGCCGCCACCTTGGATCAGGATTTCAAAGATGAACTGAGCGCTATTGAACAATGGTTCTGTGTTCTCAGTGAAGCTGAGAGAACCGCTGCTCTTTATGCTCTGCTCCAGCAAACTACTCAAGTCCAGATCCGCTTTTTCATACAGGTTCTTCAGCAGATGTCCAAGAGCCACCCCATGTCTAGCGTCCTGTCCCCTGCCAACTTTGGTGAAAAAGGTAAGTAGCCGCACCTGCACTTCCTGATGAAAGAAATGAGATGTCTGATACGCTATTGTAGATCCTATGAACAACCGCCTCACCGATGCAATGTCAAAATTGAACGTTGAGAGCTCTCGCAATTCCTTTGGCCGCCCCCCGCCTTCTCCTGGGAACAAGCGTAACTCAGCGCTAGATTCATCAACAATCAATGCCATGTTTCCAGATGCTGCTGCAGCCATCGCGAAACAGAAGGCTGAGTTTACACAGCAGACTGGAGCCGTCCCCGCCTCGAGTCGAAATAGTGCTGCTTTTGCGGACCGTTCCTCCCTGATCGCGCCGACCATCTCTGCTCCGGATAGTGGCAAAGACAATTTAGCTCAACAGCCGACATCTCCTTGGGCTCAACGTGCACCCGAGCCTCAGCCTCCCATTGCTCGACCAAAATCATCTTCCGAACAACAGCATCAGCAGCCCATGGGCCAATTCGCTCAACCGCCTCAGTCGGCAGGGCTACGTTCCCCCCGGCCCCTGGGTCAAGGCTCAACCAATATCCAGCACACCACAATTGCTGCTCCGGATTTTCCATCAGAGCCTCCATTATTTTCTCCCTATAACATGGGAAATGCTAGCTGGGCATCAATGACAAACACCCCGAGCGTACCGACATTTAATCACCAACAAAATGCCTCACAGCATTCGGAAATGATTGCCAATGCCACTGCGATGAAGCTGGCCGCTATGTCCACCGTCAATAATCGTATTGCACTAGACGATGCACGAAAATATCGTCGTGCGCGGTCTAATGATGTGCAAGGCAAAAATATAAATGCTAACCAGCAGCCTCTTTCTCCTGGACTTCATAACAACAATATCCCAGGAACAAATCTCATCATGGTGAATGATGTTGGTCAGATTTTGAATGCTCAACAAATTGCGGCGTTACAGGCTCAGCAGCAAGCTGCTATGGCTGGTCGTCGATCTCGACCCAACTCCCCAGGGATTGCAATGCAAGGAGGCATGGGACACCTGAGTTTTGCTTCCCCCCAGAACAACGGATTCCTCGCAGCCTATGATACGAGTTCATTATTGAATAACAGCTTTGCTGGGCTCAATCTTGGCCATTTCACTGGTAACCATGAGGGTTATCTTTCTGACTATTCTGAGATGACACGGGGTCGATCTCCGCGCGGGAGACGAGGAAGCTCCAAGCCACCAGAAGATCCAACTGATCCTCATCTACTCCAAGATGTCCCCAGCTGGCTTAGATCTCTTCGTCTTCACAAGTATACCGAAAACCTTAAGGATCTTAAGTGGACTGAGTTAATCGAATTAAATGACAAAGGACTAGAAGAGCGTGGTGTGAATGCTCTTGGGGCCAGAAACAAGATGCTAAAGGCTAGTTCCAACATGAGATACTGCTATTATTTGACAACATGAGCTAACCGTTCAATAGGTTTTTGAGCAAGTCAAAGACGCCAAGGCAGAAGGAAAGTTGGATTCCGTTCTTTAACTTCACAACCTCGTTGTTCCCAAACTTGCGGGAACCTCGGAAGAGCCAAGGGGGGAAAAAATCTTAAACCTATTTTTTCGAGTTGAACTTTCTAATCAAGAAATGGGCTTGTTCCAGTTCTTGTATTTTCTTTTTTTGTTTTCTTAATTCGCAGCAGGAGAAAGAAGATCTATAATTTTTGTTTTATTACGGAGCAGCTCCTATTGCTAGATATATATGCATTCCAGTTTACCGCGGTCGAGTTCCGCTTACTTGGGAGACGCACATATTTCCAAGTTGGACAAAGATCAATGGATACAAACCAGACCTTTGATCATCGATGGGATGAATTCGTGGCCGGGAGAGAAAATTAATGTTTTTTTCTTGTGTAATTTTGACAGGACTCCCTTCTGATCTAGCATTGCGGGGTTTTTTTTTTTCCGTCTGTTTCGCCTCCCCTATATACTATTCGTCTCTCGTATTTTCTTTTTCTCTTCTCAACTAATTTCCCCATTTCCTCTCTTTCTCCCCTTTTACGTCATGATTGTGTATGACCTTGCTACGATTGTTTAGAAACTATTAATGTCTTTCTCACCTCAGTTGTTTCTTCTATTCTTATATCTTCTGGCGGTTAATCGAAATTGGCAATTCGCCTGCCATGTTAAATCGTACTACGACGAAAGGTGATACTGTACCTCTTCACCCATTTGCCTTTACATAGGACTACTTGCATCTCAACACATTTCTTCCATAGAGACCTCTGATGTTTATTCCCCCCTTTCGTCTTTCCAAACTATTTGAGAATGGCAACAAAGGCGTTCCACACTGAAATGTCGGCCGTAGGTTTATAGAGTCAACTCTGATGCTATCCAACTAAACTGCCCATTAAATGATTATGCAAATATAAGTACGAAACCAACCTGCTTCTACGAGTGACGTTTTACGATCCCTGCCGTTGCTGAAAATGAAATATTATATCATGTGATCTTGCTCCTCCGCCCCATCGCACGTGATTCGTGTACGATTGAACCATCCCACAGAGTAAGAGATTACATTCTCCCAGAGTTTATTGTTCACAACTCCTAACTACATCTCCACGACGTCTGCTTGACTCAACTCAATTGTTACGGCTTTGTTCCGCCGTTTAGGGGCCTGATGCTGTGACAACGGCGATCCCGCGGTCAGACGCATTTTTGATCACTGGACACATCTTTGCGTTGGCCAGCTGCCATTTTGAAAGGGTTGGATTTGCTTAAGAATTGAAAGGACATACGAGAGAACTCTCTGTGTGTCCTTGCTATATTCTCCCTAGGACATATTCGACCGCTGTCTGAGCACTTTTTGCTCTCAAGGTCAATACGAACAAATATCTTAGCAACGAATACGGGAGCCTGCAACCCATATAAACACATACACAAACGTATTGAGAAAGCTTGATAATATCGAAAAGCGTCACAATTGTCCCAATGCCTCCAACATCACAAGAACTCTCTCTCCTCATCAATCCTCTCGTTCCCGATTCAGTCATGCATAACAACCGTGTATGTGCATTTTCAAACCCCCCCCCCCCCCCCCCCCCCCCCCAAACCCAAAAAATCTTCCCCATCTTAAACCTCAAACTAACAAACGTCCCCACTCCGAACAGACTCTCTCAAACCTCCACTCCCTAACCGCGTTTCTCCTTGGAATTTCTGCCGGAATCCTTGGTCTGCGCTCCTCCCAAGGCTTCCTCTTCTACCTCCTGGGCTCGCTCATCGTCTCTTTCCTGTTTCATGCAGTGCTAATCGGGTTTGGCAACGGAATGGGTGTTGGCGCGTACTTTCCGGGCACAGGGGAACTTATCACTGAAGGGCAAGGAGATGGCTCTTCGAAATTGAATAAACAGGGCAGTCAAACGAGAAAGGGGGCGTGGAGGGATGTTTGGTTTGGTGGTGGTTCCATGGGGGAAGCGCTTAGTGGCTTTGTGCTTGGGTGGGCTGGAGTTGGGGGCGTGCTGAGGTAGTGTTCGCTGCCTATGCTCTTCTTTATAATGTACTATCGTAATCAGTATATACATGAACTCTGTTGGGCTTATATGAGTGCGTAATGCCCGTATATATGCATAGAGGGAGACTTCATTGTGGCGTTTTCCAAGACCTTGAAGAGCATCTCAACGTATTACCGCTACAACCGTAAATGGGATGGGGTATTGGAGTAATAATTGCTGGTTGTGTGGGCATCAACGCCGATCGATATCTAGCCTACCTCTCAAATATTGTATTTCTCCTGCCTCTGCTCGCCCTTTTCAAGGCCCTACCGACTACAAATGGAATTTACAAGGGGAATGGTGCAATTCCGATGCCTAGCCAATCGGTTGCAGTTCTATGTTAGATTGTCGAAAAATATGGGGAAATAAAGTAAGTATTTAAAGTATAGCGTCAAGAAAAGAATCCATATAGGGGTCCAATCTCTCTATACATCTCAAAATGAAAACCGATCCTAAAAGAAACGAAAGAAAGCGGGTATAGTGCTACGCCGGATTCGAAATAATGTCAGTGAGACGGAAACTAAGACGCAAGTGAGCGAAGAGGCGTAGGAGGACGAGGGGAAGGCTTAGTAGCATTTTCAACATCCGATGGCTGATGCCTTTGCTTTACCCGCTGTCGCTTCTCCTCAAGCAAGGCAGCTGCTTGTCTCTGTTTCTCGGCTTTGGTAAGGGGCTTGGTGATGTGTTTCTTTGCCTCTAGGGTTCTCTGTTGCCCTGCGTGATTAGAACAACTGTAGTCTTCGGCTTTCGACGAAATTAAAAGAGATAGACAAAGGGAAGCCTTTAATTAGAGGAAATATACATACCGTTAAGAGTGCCCACAGATATGAGGAGTACACTACCTCATTGCTGGCGATATGTTCATCGTCATCGGCTTCAGGGGCGGGATCATTCTGCTGGTTCTGTTCGGCTTTTTCTTCACTTTTCTTTTTTATCCACACATTCCCCAAAAACATCCCCGTTACAAAACTGATCGCCATAATTGGCATTATGGATACAAACGCCCACATAACTGCATTCTTCCCCGTATTACGGATGCTCTCTTGTACCCCTGGCGGAAGCTTGCTGATATCATCCAAACTCTGATTGGAGTTCGTGTCAAACCCACTGCTCCGTGGCCCACTGGACAGCCGGAAAATACCCGCCATCTTATTATTGAAGACGCTGCCCATGATAGCAAGGGCAATAGTACCACCGAAAGGGATACAAAACCGCGTAATAGACACTGCTGCTGCGAGCTTATCTGGCCAGATCCCTGCCGCGTGTAATGAGGCGGGCATGAATCTAAGACCCGTTCCCGCACCGGCTACAACCATCATCCCGTTGATCACAGATAAATTGCGAGTCGTGACAGCCCAGGTGAGAAGGGCAACACCTATTGTTTCAACTAAGGTGCCGAAGCTTAGTGGTGCGAAGGTTTGCAAAGGCCACACATTACATGCGAACATGGCCAAGTAAACGCCGGCTAGAAACCTGGCATTAGTAGTGCCATGGTGAAAAAGGACGCAGAGGATGATTCAAGGGGTAAAATAAAACCTTACCTCCAATGCCAGGGATATAGAATAACAATTGTATACCTGCCTTCCCCGGGGAGTAGGCTTCCACGAGGGTGAAATATATCCCAATGAAGTAAAAAACCGAATACATAGCTATAACGAAAATTAGCACGGCGTACTCAGGATTGACTGGTGGGAAGTTATTCATTTCTCACCTGCTCCGGTAGCGAAATCAAGAATAGCTAGCAGCGATGTATCCTTCCTTTTAAACATAAGGAACGGGATCATGGGGGTTTGCTGTGGGAAGATTCTCGCGAGCACTCGTCCTGGTTCGAGGTAGAACTCGTAAACAAAAAAGAGCACAAAAAAGATTGACCCAGACACCAACGGCACAAGAACCGCTGCTGACTCCCACGGGTATGCTGCACCTCCCCACGTAGTGCCTAAGATAATAAGGGCGATTCCAAGTACGAAAAGGGTAGTACCACCAAAATCAATGGTGGCCAGCCCCGATAGGAAAGATGATAGTTTAAAACCATCGGTGAAGTGAGTGCCCTTGACTAACTCCTTACGGAGCAATAAGAATATGATGAAGTGGGCAAAAGCGGCAATCTAGTTATCCAATCGAAAGTAAGTCAGGCGACTTGACAAGAAGTAGTGCAGATATGTAACGAAAGGAAATACATAAGGCATACGGGTATACTCAGAACGAAACAGTATCGCCAGTTCGCCTAGAAGTCATTAGAAAGTCCCAAAGACTACTTCCACGCAAAATATACAGGTTGACATACATTGGTCAAATACCTAAAGACGTCAATTTGCTGTCCCCCACAGGGGTAAAAGATGCTTCGAAGATAGGGAAACGGAAGCTTACCCTCCAATTATTGGTCCGACACTATAACTAATCCCAGACACGAACTGGAAAATAGTGGAGTTCTTCGCATTTTCTTTCAGGGATACATTATCAGCGAGCACAATTTGAATCAAGTTCATAATTCCCGCAGAGCTAGTCCCTTGTAGAGCTCTGCCAAAGAGCAACATTCCCCAGGTCGGTGCAGCGGCGCAGAACACGCTGCCAACAAGCATCAAAAACATGGAAAGCTGGAGCACGAAATGACGGCCATAGACATCAGCTAGCTGTCCAAAAGCTGGGATGAATGCCGTGGAGGTTAAGGTGAATGAGGTGACAATCCAGTTGACTTCATCCAATTTACCTACATGCAGAACGTTAGAAGAAGTGGGTACAACTTTGTTGATAAATGAAGAGTGAGACATGACAACCTACTGAAATGAGAAGCGATAAACGGCATTGCAGAAGCAACTATAGTTAAATCCACCGATGCGAGAAAGTATGGAAGTAGCAGGCCAATAATCAACTTCCAGCGATATACTCTGGCGGCGTGAATCTCCTTTTTACATTGTGGACAGTGACCAACTGGATCGCCCTGTTCCGGGGGTGGATGTGGGACGAAATGGGGGTTCTTGCTTGCGCTGTCGTGTTGATCCCCAGATTTAGCCATTCCAACAGGTTTCAGCTCTATTACACGATCCTGATTCTGTCGCTGATGGCGACATGGACCTTTTTTCTTTGCCTTTTTTGTTTTCTCTGTTTCTCCTACTTCGTTTGGTTGCCGTCTGGCATAGATCTTTTTCTTAATAAATTGGTATAACATTTTTGCAACAGGGGCACACAATTGTTTTTTGAGGGGGTGGGTGGGGAATATGAAAATGAAACTTGAAGAGTCGAAAAAAATTTCCGTAATCCGGTAAATGTATAACCCCAGAGAGGTAACATGTCTTATATGAGGACCTCATATGGCTTCAGGAAGCTTGAGCTTGAAGTTTTAAGCACCTCGTTTTCACAGCCACTCTGGCTAAGGCTAGTAGAGTAAGCTTAGTCTCGAGCTGTCCGAGATGGGAAAATCTTCGTTCTCGCTTCTAGGTAGAATCTGGCTTGTCCTTTTTCTGCCTGCCTAAGATCGGGAATAGAACTTTGATAAACAAGAAAAATTGGCGGGTAGGCCGGTACTCCTAATGCTGGATAAATCCACGCATGAGAGAACCGCTGCGCCCATGACCACCGATCGCTTAAGAGTAATATAATACCTCACCAACTAAGGAGCTAATCCGAAGTCAATGAGTACGAGAACATGACTCAAAACGCAGAGTAGATGTTATTCAATGGCCCAAGTGATACTTACAACAGCTTCGCCCCGAGGCTGGGATGGTTTTCTGCAGCATCAACTCGTATATCTATCTCTCTTCTGACAACGTCACGAACCAGCAGTTCGCAAGGCAACGAAGGGGATTTTCTGCATCGTGTACGCCCTATGGTCAACCCTACGAACAGCTAAAATGCAAAGGCAAGGCCAACCAGTGAGTTGCCAACCCGTGAGTTGTCCCAACACCATCGGGTCTGGGTGGGAAATCTATGGCGGACAAGGCACAATAAGGCCACAACATTCCGACGCGGAATTCTGGTTAGCACGAGTCCAGATTTTGTTCCAGGTTTTGCCATGAAAATTTCCAGCCTTGCAGTCCCTCCCACAATCCTTGAAGGGGCACAGCGATTCATGGCCTGGGGACTGGAAAGTCGTATTCAGCTCAAGACCGTCATAGGCTTAGCCAGACCCAAGCTAGTTAGTTAACTAACTAGTCTCGGCTTTATCTATGAGAAATGAGACGCCCTCGTAATTACAGACTCGTACAAGAATAAGAAGTTATTGAACGGGAAGATACCTAATCAATCTGTTGGCTCTTAGGTTGTAACAAGAGGTTGTTGAAGAAATATTGGGCGCCGCTAAAGTCGTCGCATCTCGGCTAAGTTAGTGATTTGCCGCGATTACCGCAACCGCCATGTTCAATCCCAGTTCTGGGTGGTTGGTTTGCAGTCTGTCTGGATCCAACACTACACTTTGATATACCTAGCAGCCGGCTGAGGAGAGAGAGGTTTATGCCGACTACTCAAATAGGGATATGTATTCTGTTATTTGAAATAGCAATTCATATATTGCGTAGGAGCCTTTCTATTCTCAACTTTTTCTCACTTCTATTTTACCCTCACCCCAACAGCCGATCTATATCTATGTAACATAAATGGATGTGAAAAAAAGTCCGGTCTGAAAAGAAGGCCCAATTTCTAGTTTACAAATCGGAAAGAAACCCTACAAGAAATTTATCGACCCAAATTTTATCGTTAATCTTTCTCTTTATCTGTAAGGACAGCGCCTTCATGTCCTAATGGTGAAGAAACAGAAACACAAAATGAAACATAAAGAATCATGGAATGTTTAAAAAGGGAGTTATGACGACTGAAGATTCGGGCGGAGGATAGACCGTGAGCAGAGTTGTAGGCCTACCCAGACAAAGGACTAGAGCATCGAGAAAAGAGGGAAGCACGAAAATTCAATCGCCAACGAACAATAAGATATTTTATAAAACACGCACTTGACAACATCAATTCAAACCATCAAAGGAGCCCTTGGAAGATTCGATAAAACAAGATCCCCAAACATAAGCCCATACGCATCTAGGCAGTGGCTTTGATCATAATGTAAACTAAATAGTAAAGCAGCAAGATGGGTATTAAAAAAAAGGCCACGGGTTAGAATCACGATAATATATATAGTTCCTTTCCCTTGCACTTGAGTTATCGCTCAAGCGAATATTTTTCCAAGAATCAATGAAGTCCAACCCCTATCTAACTATCTGGAAGCTTGGTAGCAACAGCAGAAGCCTCTGCATTTGCGAGAGCACTCTGCAGCGCGCTGGTAAGATCCAGGTGGAAGAAAGGTCGATTGAGACTGTGGACAACAGCAATCCTGCGGCTCTCAGCGATATACCCTTGTCTACGATCCCAATCCGTTCTAACCTCGTGCTCGGACCCGCTGCTTCCATTTTCGACGTCCTTTGCAGTTGTTTTATGGGGAGATTTCTCAACTGGTGCAGGTTCTACTCCCTCGATATCGAACTGCTTTCCCGAATTAGGTTGCCACGAGTCATTTCGCTGTTCGGGGCCCGCGTCGAGATCGCCAGTGTGATTACTGCCCAGCTCAGCAACGCTGAAAATCGGTTTCCATCGAATATTTCCTCCAGGGCTGGGGGTTGGATAGCCGAATCCGGCGGAAACGAGAGCACGCTTGGTCCAGCGGTTGTTGACGTGGGCAAAGTGCCAGTGGACGGGTTGGGGAGCAGCGTACTTATCGAGTTGGTTGCGAACATCGATTAGATTTTGGGTGGAGGTGACATCAACGTTGTTGACGGAGGAGAAGTCGAGGATAATAGCTTTTAGGGTGGGGAGATGTGAACGATCTTCTTCAACCTGACCCTTGCGAGGGCCCGGATCACACCATGGCCGATCGCCCGCACTTGGGTAGCTATCTAGGTTTGTTCGTCTTGTGTGTTTGTAGATTGTGGTGACGAGATGGTCGAGGTAGTGATTTGCGTTTGGATAATTGAATCCTTCAGAGAACTGATAAATGAAGATACCTGGTGAAGGCTGTTCAATTTCAATCTCAGGATTTGAACCATCAAGATGATTAAGAGGAAGAAATATGTTTCGGAACGACGGGTTGGTACTGGTAAGAACTCCATCACTCGATTCTAATCCGTTATATTTCCCACCGCAGGGAGAAGTTTGGTTTCCCACCACAGAATGAACTTTGACTCGTCCAAGGAACCGCCCTTGCGCTTTAACAACTCGGAAAAGGAGAATGGCAAGTGATACGCATACGGTAAAGTAGATGCCGTTTTCAATTGTCGAAAAGATGGTGACAATGACACCGACAAAGAAAACCACGACTTCGAGTGGGGAGACTCTCCAGAATTGGTAGACGACGTTTGGCGGTGTGATTAGATCCCCTACCGCGTGGATTATGACGGCAGATAGAGACGCATTGGGAATATAAAAGAAGACTGCCGGGAGCGCGTAAATGGAGAGCAAAACGAGAATAGCAGTGATGACACCAGCAAATGGTGTGCGCACTCCGGCTTTAGATTTAATGGCGGTTCTTGAAAAGGATCCTGTGGCAGGATATCCTCCAAGGAAAGGACCAAGAAGGTTGGTAACGCCGATGGCAACCAGTTCTTGGGACGGATCGATGGTGTAATTGTTGATACGCCCGAACGACTTAGATATGGCAATGTGCTCAATCAACAGAACTATGACTGCAGCAGGGATGTCCCCAGCGAAAGCCTTTACAATCTTAGCATCAACCTGGGGAACAGCCGCGTGTTGAAACCCTATTCTTTCGTTAGGACTTATGCTCCTATGCATGTTTTCAATTAAACACACAGGTGTGCAAAACAACAAAAGTCTTGGGGTCAATGAAACACGGAAAGCTACTGCGTACCTCTAGGCACGTTGCCCAAAATCTTGAAGGTCGGCTTCTTGCGATGGTGTCTGTTCACAAGCCAACTGACCATGACATAAAGAAGGATAACGACAACGGTCCGCAACGTCGCCAGGAAGAAAAATAGCTTCTTCTGACTAGGGTTCCTTTTGGCACCATAGCTGCACGCCCAGCGGATAAGGTAAAGGAGAAACAGGGCAGTCAGGCCCATAGCAGCATCGATTTTGGTGTCTGGCAGGTGTTTCAAGGTGTTGATGATAACCTTGTAAGTGGTGTCACGTGTGTTGAAGCCACTCATGCCCATCATAGAAGGCACTTGGCCAGCCGCAATGCTAATGGCAGAGCCCGTCATGAAAGCGGTGATTGCGGTCAGAGGGATGAAATCCACGATCCAGCCACATCGAATCAGGCCGATGGAAGTGACAATCCCGCCGCAGATGACTGCAAGGGCACTGGCAATGACATGCCCTGGGATTTCAGGATGAACCTTCTTGACCTTGATGACAACATGACCAACAAGAGTCGACATGACTGCAACGGGCTAGAAAATAAAAGGGAAGAAACGTCAGATTCGAGGCCGGTAAAAGGATACGATCCAAAACTCACTCCTATTGTAATGTCCTTGGAGGTTGCGAAAAACCAATATATCAAGACACCCATGAATGATGAATAAAGCCCAAACTCAGGTTCCAGTTCAGCTAGCTTTGCATACGCCATACCCTGCGGCACGACAACTGCGCCCACCGTGATCCCTACAGGATATGTTAGATACGGATGACCTCTTGGTTTAATATATCCCATGGATAACACAAAACTAACCAGCAACAAGGTCGCCGATAAACCACTGGAGGTTATATCTGGTAATCCACCGCAAGAACGGAAAGAGATTGAGAAAGTATGGCAGAATTTGATGGCGCCCGGGTACCAATTCACGCAGCCATCCACCTGAGTCTGGCTCTTCTTCAACATAGGGTCCTGCCGAACCAAGAGAAACACTTGACACTCCGTAAGCAGGATCGGATCCGAATGGATCATGATTGCCCTTTTTGATGCCTAGCCCTTTAGCAAGAACAGTTCCGACCTTAGTCGTCATCTTTCCTTTTGGTGTGGCCATACCGCCCTCTTGATAGCTCAAGGGATCAGGCAAAACAACCAACGAACGAATCGACCCTTTTGAGGTCTGAATAGCAGACAAAGAATTACGTCAAAGGCAGGTTCTAACAGGGGTATAATTGAAACATCTATAAGGGAACAATGGTTGAATGGTTGAAGGGAGGAGTCGGGTAAAGACGAGGTGGAGGGGGGGGTTGCCGGGATAGATATATATGAGTGAACGTAAGTGGATGGTCGCCAAGGGAACAGGGGGGAAGAAAAGCTTTTCTGGGGAGCAAATAGCAAATAATGCTCCAAAATCCCACGAACGGTGTCAGAATTGGGATTTGATGGTTGTTAGAACGTTGTATGTTCCACTAAGCTCAGCTGGTGGAAAAATAAGCGAAGTTTGGAAGACAACAGCACGGAGAGCACCCGCAAGTAACAATCCCAACTGACAAGAAGAGAATGTCCCGAGAAACAATGACGGCTAATAGTGGGGATCGGCAAGGGACAGAGCAACAGAAGTAACGAAGGGGACGAAGGGAACGAAGGGGGAGTTAAAAGAAGAAAATATAAAACACGAGGGACTCTTTTTAGATTTTATTTGGTGTTTTTGGCGATGGCGCTGATGATACAATTTGGCAAAGCGAGCTCGACAGGCTCGAAGGGCATCACGCAATCGTCAACGAGTGGAGAGGCTCCAATTCCAGGCTCTAGGACAAGGGTTCGAAGTTGCAAGATGCAGGTTTGCATGAACAAGCTATTCCTAAGGCGAAGATAGAGTTCAGAATCTTCGGAGGAACCCCCAAATTTAACGTGTGAGACGTAACTTGAAAAATAATCCAGGGATAAATTGCTACTGGGGGCACAGATGTTTCCAGGCGGGAAACTGGTCGGAAACCCACAGCGGAGGTGCGTTGAATCCATCCCGACAGTGGAGGGAGATATGTACCTCATTACATACATCCTTGTCTCTTTGTTTTATCTTGGCTCTTTTCCCGTCGATCCTCTGTCTGTTCGTCCATGGGTTTACCCCGCAGCCAAGATCAGATTCTCACGCACGCTCAGTTCATTAAATTCGTTCGGTTGGACTGATGATTAGAATGCTCGCTGAACAGAAAGGTCACGCACGCAAACACAATGGGAGGGTATGTAGTTAGATCGAACATACAAAAATGAAGCAATGCGGAGTGGCTGGATGAACTTCAGTTGCGAGGTATGCATCAACGTATCAAGTGCGAGCTCCTTATCCGCAAGTATTATTATCTGTCGCCCGTTCCGCAGACTGGAGAAGCCACAGACGGCATTCCAGGAGCAGGCTAGAGCTTGAGCACGAGTCAAAGATGGAAGCGTTAGGAATTATCCACGGAGGCCCGCTTTAACCTAGTCCAATATGTAGTTGACTGAAAATTTCTTCATTGCCCACCATTCAAGCTTTCGTGGTGCAAAGTTATCGTATCTTGGCAAGGCCAATCCTGGCGTTTACAGCAGACGGCAGAGAGCACAACCTTGGGAAGATGTATGTGGTTGGACCTGGATTATGATATCAATGGGCGCTATGTTGACCCCTGGTGGAGAGCGGACAGGCCCACTGTTATATGCGACCGTCACCTAGTTAACTAACCGTGGAAACCACCAGCTAACCGGTAATGTAAACCGTGGCACAAGTGAGCGGGTTGCAGTAACGAATGCTGGTACCGTGTGCTTTTGGTATGGACTACTCACTACATCCAGTGAGTTGTCTGCTCCCGAAGGTTCATTATATATATATATATATATATATATTCACTTAAGCCATTGGAGAGGAACAATCCATGGATTCCGTCAGGCGAACTATGGCGGCTGTCGCTTAGCATTCCGCGCCGGGCCTAGCATTGGGAACCACAGCGTTCAGCCTATCACGGCCCCTTCTAAAGACGCCATAACAACGACTGATGATGACAAACGTACCTACGTACAGGCGACGCGATGGGATTCAAGGGGGAACAAGCCGATATGCGGCATGCTCACAAGTACGCGGCCTATCTGAATATCTTATTATCTGACAAAGGGAGCAGAAATGGCAGCGGCTGGAAAGGAAACAATCTGAACATCAGATTTGATGCTCTGAGCGAGTAGTTATGTCATATTGATGTATCATCGCCTGCGCTGCAGCACAAATGTCATGTGTAGTTATCACGTGTACTCCGTGCTCTTCGACGATCTGCAGAGGACTTCACGGTGTGTCTGTCAACCAGCACGTGGATATCATTCTCATCTAACATGCCCTAGCACCCAGCAGAATGGCATCCATGCAGACCGTCGTGTTAGGTTATGTCCATGGGATTGAAAAGCCCCACCATGCAGAACACCGATGACTGTCGTCCTATTTATTGGCTTGATATCCAGCCGGAAGCAAGGCGGAGAATTTGACAAAGCGCCAACACGAAGGGGGAACTAAATAGTTTTAGTTCATGCGAGGTTGCCCATGCTTCCCAAGAGTCAAGATCATTCCTCTGGCTGCCTCAGACTCTCAACGCTTTGGGAATGGTTGATCCTTGCCTGTTCTAGTGGTGTAGCAAGCATTTCAGGGCTGGTATTGCAGAAACCCGCCTTGGCATCACTCTCCCGAGGAGGAGATGAGGGGATAAGAAGGCGCTCTGGGGCAACTCAAGCTTGCTTCAAAAGCAGAGTTTGACATATGGAGAAAGCGAAAAATTAGGAAATACATAGTGAACAGGGCGGATAAGAGAGGGAGGAGCCTGGAAGAGGGAAACGCGCTTGGCAACTCTGCAGAGCATCCAGTGAAACCTCCAGGCCCATGAAGGTCAAGAGAACAGATAAAAGCAACGTTAAATAAATAAGATTGACTGACCTTGCCCAGCTAATTACCCTGCCAAAGCGTGGGGGTATCCAGCTGTGCAGACAGGAGATTGCATGAAGAGAAAACTGCTGTCAGGGCCCCAAGCAAAATTTGTTCGAATTTGATGAGACTATTTAATTCATATTGATATGGAATGTATCGTATTTTCATATAGATCTCGTAGAGGTCTCAAGGCGCCAACTCTTTCGTCTTTTGGTCTCATGCACGATGGAAGATCTTTGAAAGATCTCTGGGCTCTCTGGTGCCTTGTTTCTCCTCCATCCTACAGAACAACCTTGCAAGAATCTACTTCTTATTTGACATTACGAGATACGAAACGTGGAAATCCAATTAAGGACATTCGGAAATTACCCAACAAGCGTGGCCTCTCCAGACTTGGAAGGTCGCAAGCCCCGTCTTCTTGATCCTAAAGCCACTGAAATTACTGCGGGCATGGATGTGGTAATGTGATGGAGAAAAGGCTATATGGGAGATTCCATACAATCCTCCTATGCATCCTATCTTCCAGAAAGGGACGATGGGAGCAAGAGATAGATGCAACCAGTGCTTCAATTCCATTTGTAAAGTGGATATGAATTACATCCATAGAAACAATAATAAAACTTGTGACCAAGGTATGCATTTTCTGTGCTATCCAATCTACCCATCAGACAGATTATCCCATGAATGTTCCCTTTTTCCATCCCAGACATCCTCTATTCATTTTCCGCCACACTTCTTTCGTCCTATAGACATTCCTCGTTAATCGTCTCGTGGCTCCTCTCCAGATTCCGTTTGAACAACTGTTCCATACTACAAACCCTCTCCGTCTTCCCGATGCTTTCAGCTCTCGCCTCTCCTTTTTCATCTTATTCCCTTGCTATACCCTACTTGCCCATAAGGTCCAGGCCCAATGGAGTTTCCATTCCACAGCATCCTCCCCTAGAAACCGAAAAACCAAACTCCAATGCCATTATGTCTCCCGCCACCCCAACGCAACCTCTCCAACGATGTTGTCTTTAGAAGGGAACCAGAGACGGGGAAGATGAAATAAACCAATGACGCAGACGAAGTAATTGGTTCAAGCACAGTCTGCACAGATCCCAGCAAGTGGAACTGTCTGCAAAAGCATGCTTACACGGCATATCAAAGCGGCAAAATTTGACATTAGAAGTCTTTTAGACTCTTCTCCTGCCGAATTCCGAGCCGCGGACCAAATACAGATAATACGTGAGCATATCAATTAATGTATATAGCTGCGTGCCGGATCGGGGATATCAAGTAACCCGAAAGAAAGAGATGTGTTCACATGACTGATTCCGAGACGGAGTCTTGTTCCATGGATGGATGGTTTCCTCCGCCCCTTGCTGCTGTTCCACCCTGGGATCCTTATCAGAGACCAACTTCAGCTCCAAGACGCAAATGCACCCTTCATGAATGCAAGCCTGTCCGGCCGGCGTTGTAGAAAATATGGGTAGGACGACTCTTGTAGTACAGCCCACACACAAATATTTAGACAAGCATGCTCTTTTCTGCCCCCCTTACAGAGCAGACAGAAGCCTGGACCCTGGTCTTTGCATCTCATGTTTGAATAGCTGAATGTGTTTAATTATATGAATAACATCTAACGGGACCTATTAAGCTGATAGAGTCGGCCGAAAGACTGAATTTAAGGGGAAAAAAGTCCTTCTCCCCCCTCCTCTACATAATGCAGACGGTAGCATCTTGCAATCAGTACAGAAAGTTCATAAAAGTATAAATATGTAAAATATATAAATAAATAAATCAAGGCACCCTCCTTCTTTTCCTCCTCCACCTCCTCTCTTACTCACTTTCCCCACGCGAATGACATTCTATGTTCCATGGGACGCAATGCAACCGTCCATGCACGGCTGTGCCATCATACGCTCTTTCGCTTCGTTTTCCAAGCAATGAAAGGAGAAAGAACGTCAATTAAGTAAGAGAAACTAGATATGTAGAAAGCCAAAAAAAAAAAACAACTATTGCAATTCTTTCTTCATACGTAGAACATAATTTGCTGATGTATGTAGCACGCAGCGTCTTTGGGAGGAACGGACGGGCAAGGTTGCATTGGCTTTTGCAGACAAAAGCCGGGGGGGGAGGAAAGAAGATCGTATATATTTAACATATGAAGCAGTTGAAAAATTAAAGATCAATGAGGCCAGCAACGGTTGAACAGAAGTTTAGAAATGTTTTTATAATTATTCCATAATAAAAAGCAGATAAAAGAAAAGAAAAAAAAAGAAAAAAAAAGAAAAAAAAAGGGAGAGAGAGAGAGAAACATCTATGAATCAATTGTTGCGTAACTTGCTAGAATAATAATTGAAGTGTGAATTAAGGAAATAAAGTTGGCTGCTGCTAGAGTTTCTTTCTCTTTTGTTTTCTTTTCTTCTCTCTCTCTCTCTCTCTCTCTCTCTTTTTTTTTTTTTTTTAAATTGATTAATTTAAAAGCAGGGAAAAGAGGAGTGAAGATAGAGAAAGAAAGAAAATGAGAAACCGTCTAATCCATCCATTTCATTTCATCCATAACATATAAGATTTGTAGAAGAGACCCCACATACGATGGACATTTCGAGAAAAAGTGAAATAAAAAGGAGAAGGTGGAGAGCAAAAGGCAAAAAGAGAAGCTGAACAGAGAAGAAAAAGAGACAAATGCGACATAACAAATAGGAGGTCCTTAGGAGCAGGGAAAAAAAAAAAAAAAAAAAAAAAACGTGGGTGGAAATGGAAAAAGGGAAATGAGTAATTAGAAAAAAGGAACAGTACACCCCTAACCATTTCTTGCAATGAACACGAAATAGAAACAAAATGAACGAGAAAAAAGCGAATGAAAAAAAAAACCCCTGATGAAATAGATAGGGAACAAGAACCTGAAAAAAGAAAAGCAAAAATTCAAGAGCTCCGTCGGAGGGGCAGACAAGCCTCCTCCTATCCTTTCTTTCTTTCCGCAACCTAACTAACTACCCAACCAATCCCCACAACTGAACCATTGGAATGTAAAAAAACCCCGAAAAAAAATTGAGAAGGAAAAATGAAAAGACAAGAAAAGGGAAAAAAGAAAAATTACTGAGATGCGCACTGCATCCGCTCAGCGCCATGTGGTATCTCATCATCATCCTCATCGCCCATGTGCGTAGCTCCATGCGCTCTCTCCTGCCCACTCGCCTCGACATCCTCAAGTGTAAAATCCTCCACCATCGAGTCGGCGGGTGGCTGTGGCTGTGGCAGACGCGCTGGCAGCACTTGCTCGAGCAGCTGGATGTTTTGCAACTGGTCCTTTTCGGGGAATTTGACGTTGAATTGGATGTAGAGGTTGCCAAAATCGTGGTGGCGGTAGGAGGGCATGCCTTGGCCCTTGATTAGTTTGATTTGGCCTGTGGGGTTGAGAGAAGGGGAGAATTTGGTTAGCAGACATGTCATTTCATTTGTTTTGCTTGCTTTGCGCATGGCAAATGTGTGGATGTGTTGATATTTGTTGGGGGGCAATGGGGATGGGCAAGCAGTTATGCCCAACGTATGTCAGCAAACTTACCCGGTGTGATGGGTTCGCCGGGAGCAATTTGCACTGTCAACCATCGGTCGTCCAAATGCTCGATGTTGATAGTACCGCCAGCCAAAGCAGTCAGAAGATCAATCTCGGCCTGGTAGAAGAGATCATCGTCTTTGCGCTGGAATCTTGGATGCGGCTGCTGGTCTATCTCAAACTGAACGTCGCCTGTTATAACTCCTGGAGCCTGGTCACCTTCACCACGGAAGTCAATCTTGTGTCCCGGCTTGACACCCCGGTCTATATGCACATGGAGTACTTTTCGCTCGATGATGACTTTGTTCCCCTTGCATCGTTTGCAGCGGTCACGTTCATTGATGACCTGTCCCGTTCTGTCACAGTCCGTACATTCAACAACGAATCGTTGAATCATGGGTCCCATCTGGCGCATCATAGTTCTTTTCCCAGTACCACCACAGGCAACGCACTGCTTGACGGAACCTGGCTTACCACCAATTCCCTCGCAGCCAGGACAAATGACGGATTTCTTCAGCGCCAACTTTGAAACCTTGCCACGGTAGATATCCTCCAGGGTGACTTTGAGAGGGTGGACGATAGTGCGTGCCTTCTTGGGGCCCTGTTCTCTCATTCCGCCGCCAAACATGCCACCAAAGGCGCTTCCGCCAAAGAACTGGGCGAACAGGTCTTCTGCCTGCATTCCACCACCAGCACCGCCCTGCTCCAAACCTTCTTCACCATATTGATCATACAACTGCCGTTTCTGGGGATCAGAGAGAACTTCATAGGCGTGAGAAAGGGCCTTGAATTTCTCTGCTGCCTCAGGATTATGTGCGTTCTTGTCTGTGTGAAGGTGATTATGTCAGACTGTTGTTGTACAAACGCAAGAAGGAAAGGAAAAGACTGTCACATACCAGGATGATGTTTCAAAGCGCCTTTCTTATAAGCAGTTTTCAGTTCCGCTTCAGACGCGCCTGGGGACACCTATTCGTCGAGAAGAAGAGATTAGGACTACCTTTTTTTTTTTTTTTTTGAAATGCCCATACAAAATTTGCAGCCGAGGGAGAGAGATCAAGCACTCCACATACCCCCAGAACGTCATAGTATTTGGTTTCCTTCACCATGTTGGCGCAAGTTCTACAATCCGCTGATAAAAATCAAACAAACAAGCCAAGGAAAAATTTGAGATAAAGAGAGAGGAGAGGAGAGGAGAAACAATGGGGCGGCCCAAGGAACGAGTCAAGGAAAGCCACACAAAGGTGTTCAGTACAGAGATCTCTTTTCGTTCTCTCTTTTTTTTTGTCTAATCGTGCGGTTTTAATCTCGCTAGGAAGTCGACGAATTGGACGGTCGAAGGTAGGCAGGCAATCGGTTAATCAGAGGTGATGATTACTGGAGAATGAAGAGTCAAAAGGGTATCTCGACAGTAAATGGCATGTGACCCGGAGTTGGCAAAGGGGGTTTTTAAGAACGGCCACAGAGCGCAAATAGCTCAAGAGGGTCAGAGTATAGTGTGGAGGAAAAGGGAAGGGCAGGCAATAAAGGCGGATGGATAGGTTGATGTTGTGAGGTTGGATCGAAAAAGACCATGAGGTGAGTGAGGACGACTAAAATAAAATAATGGCAAAAGGCAAAGGCAAAAAAAAAAGCTTCCCCAGAGCGGAACCGCGTATTTGTTGTATTGTTGTGCTCTGTGTATTTGCGTATTTGACTGGTAACAAGGCTGCTTTTCGAGATGGTCTTTAGTAACAAAAACCCGACTTGGCAATTCTGACTCAGTTAAAAGGTATCCCTGAAGTACCTTAGATTAAATCAGAGACAACACAAGTTACACAACATAGAGCAAACACTCTATTATTGTTATTCCTCTCTCTCTCTCTCTCTCTCTCTCTTTCTTTCTTTTTATATGTATAATATATTTCCAATCTTGCATTCATACGCACAGGATATTAATCAGCCAACGATCCTTGGAATGATACGCCCCAAATGAAAGTTACTAGATGATTCTCTTCCAAGGCATGTCTTCCCGAGTAACAAGGCTACAGCTCCGAGAAATAACATCCGCGGTACATTTGAAAAATTCATGGAACACATCAATTACATTCTTAGAACCGGCAAAACAGAACCTTACCGTATGCGGGCAAGCCGAAGTGCTGTATGCGGTTTAGCGCGGTTTCTGTAGTGATTCCGGTTCTTTCTAAGCGTTTCCATCGCTGCTTCCATCGCGGTTTTACTGCTGGAATCCGCCTGATCTACGCGTTTCTGTCGCCTTCCATCGCCATCCCCTGTGACCCTGCGACGACGCCCTTGGATTCATCATCGATTCATTTACCAAGGGCGAGATGCAGAGAACGTTCTAGTAATTGGGTTCATAGTTAAAATATACTCGGTTCGCAAAAAAATAAAAAAATAATTCAAAAAGAGGAAACCGAAATAACCTTGCGGAAATGGAAGGGAGATAAACATCACTCGAAATTGATCTCCCATATTCTCCTTAATCAGTTCTATATTAACTTAATTACTCCGTTCTACCACTAATTAAGTAATCCCTTGGATGGATCATTAACTAACTAGTTAGTTACTAGACCCGCGGATTATCTAATATCCGAGACCGTAGTGCACAAAAAAAAGGTTGTGGTTGCCTTTAGCCTCACAGGGCAAAATTAGCCTTGGCCTTGCCAGCTGCGATATTGGGGATAATGGGACATTGGGATATTGACGTACGGGCGCAACGTTGCGGAACAGCTGATACTTGGAACCAAATGCAAGGGAGCTAACAGAAACAAAGAGAGTAAATATGAGAACAAATTTGATCTTTCATATTCCTATAAAATTCATATCTTACCCCTCAAACCCCCGTTCCGCTGTCAATATAGAACCCCAAAAGAAAATCTCCACCCAGAGGGTTTAAAAAAAAAAAAAAAAAAAAAAAAAAATTCTGCCCAAGATCGCGGCTTCATTGCTGCCTTGGAAGAAGTTTAGGAAGGGCTTAGCTGAAGGGAGCGTACCTGTCGGTGCCTGTTCGGTCTCCAGTGACGGCAAGATTCTTGGGCAGGGACGGAACATGCGCGTGCAAAAGGGGAGCGCTCTATTGCATGTCAGTTTTAAAATAGAATATTTTGGCGTTTTTCTTTTCTTTTTTTTCCCAAGTCTTCCTCGTACGTTCATTCAGCCCAGTCATCTTTGTAGATACAATTTCATTAGCATATATAAACACATGGATCGGCTCACATTTTTCCAAGCTAAAGCATATTCAACCATAGGCTGAGATATCCCGCATTTGAAAACTCCGGCCGCTTGCCCGCCTCTGTCCATGTTGGAGTTACGATGTATACTGCGTTATCTCCTTGTGACATGTGCACGGGGGCTTGTGTGCTGTATAGAATGAAGCGCATCGTGATTGGGGAGAACGCTATGTTCACGGGCGGCGAGTAGTATCTGTTGAGCCGTAACTAGCGTTGAAGTTGTTGTCTTGGATGAAAGGGAATGGAAAGACTTGATGCGGAAGTTTATTGGAGAGAAGCGGAGATATGGTGAGTCTTTCTTTCTTTTTCTTTTCTTTTTTTTTTAAAAAAAATCGTTATTGGGGTGTAGAAGGTGGGAATAGGAGGAATGGTTAGAAAGAGGATTGGTTTGGTATACATGGAGTAGAGGAGACGGGTTTGGAATGGTTAAATGTTGGCCATATTTGTACACTGTATATACTTTGCTGTTGCTTTCACGGTTGTTGAATAACATATCTTGATACCAGACTGAGACCCTAGACTGATTCCATTTCACGCAGCCGTTAACCGATGAATTTCCTGGAAGTAAAACTTCAGATCTTCTGGGTCGACAAAAGGAGTAACACCTGTATTCCACGGATATTAGCACCAATACAATGATTAAGGTAAACTCTGCTTTTTACATACCATGCCCCAGATTCGCAATCCACCCCTGGCGCCTCCCATCCCAAAAGCCCTTCACCATATTCTCCACAACGGCAGTAATCGCCTCGCGAGAACCATACAAGCACCCGGGATCCGCATTGCCCTGCAACGTAACCCTCCCCTTTGCAACTTTGACCGCCTCAGCAGGGTCTTGCAACCAATCCAAGCTCACAACATCATACCCAGACTCACAGAGCACATCCAGCGCATACCACGCCCCTTTAGCAAAGACAGTCATGGGCACGCGCTCCTGGCCCATCTCCGCTAACCTCTTCGGCAAATGAACAGAGATATAGCGCAGATACGGCAGCGAGAACTCCGCAAAGGATGCAGGCGACAATTCCCCCGCCCACGAGTCGAATACTTGCACCAGCTGCGCCCCCGCCTCAACCTGCAGCGCCAGATGCTCAACACAGATCTCTGCTATCTTCTGCAGCAGCACCTTGGATGCCGCCGGGTACCGATACACCCACGTCTTGGACTGGATGAACATCTTACTCCCGCCTCCCTCGACCATGTAGCACAGCAACGTCCACGGTGAGCCGCAGAAGCCAATCAGCGGCACGCGGCCCTTCAGCTTCTGTCTTGTCAGCGTGATGGCTTTGTAGACGTAGTCGAGCTCCTTGGCGACGTCGATTTGTTTGTCGAGGAGCTGTTGGTATTGAGGGTCGGAGGGGGTTTTCAGGGGTGAGGGGAAGCTGGGGCCCTTTTTATCGATCATCTCGACGGTCATGCCCATTGCTTGGGGGACGACGAGGATGTCCGAGAAGATGATGGCGGCGTCGATGAGGCCTGAGTAGCGCTCTACGGGCTGTAGGGTGAGGGTTGAGGCGATTTCGGGGGAGCGACAGCATGCGAAGAAGTCATGTTGGCCTTTTACTTTGTGGTATTCGGGGAGGTAGCGCCCGGCTGTTTTGGGGGAAGAAAGGGGAGATTTGAGTTAGAGAGAGTAATTGCTTTGGGCATTTTTATTTTTGATTGTAAATCTTATTAAGCTTCTATTTTCTGTGTGATTTCTTTCTTTCTTTCTTTTGAGGACGACATGGGCAAGTCGACAGACATACCTTGCCGCATAACCCATATTGGAGGGCGTTCGATCTTCTCGCCTACACAGCAAAAGCATTAATTAGATATATGATTTTAAGCGGAAAGATACTAATTGAGCAAATAATATACCTCGTGCGGCTCTCAGTAAAAGGTCGTTTTGAAGGGGTTCGAATTGAGGCGACATGATGACGGGGAGGTTGGTGGTTGGTTGTTTCGAGAAGAACTTGAACTTCACAGAGAAAATAAAATATGACGAAATCTCGACTGGGATGGAAATTGTCGAGTTCGAGAGCAGACATCCCACATCCAATATCTATTGTGTTTATTTTCTTATTTTTTTCACTTGCTTACCTACTTGCTTAAGTATATATATATATATTTATTTAATTAACCCAGAGCAAATTGAGTGGTTCGGGAGCGTATTAATTCTTAAAATTACTACCGTGACTTAAGTATTGGTAATTTTTCATAACCTTGGGGAAGAGTTTTGAATTGCTATGCTTCGACTTCCCGTGAACTTCCACTCCTTGTCTCGAGACATGAAGAGTTTACATCAATTCCGAATATATGCAGAACGCATTAATAGAGTTAAGGGACACCCTACGCAACGCAGCCCCGGAATTCACTTTGAATTCATTCATCATCTCCCTTCCCCCATTTCCGCAAGTTCCCAAAACTATATAGTGTAGCAGTGAAGGCCTGTGCAAGTTTCTTCATCTCCTTTTCCTCTTCAGACGTAGGTAGTTCAAATGTTCCCAGTCCGTTGACCGTATTTACCATGGAGGTATCAACCTCCGTCCATTTCATAGTTCCCTGCTCTTCTACAACAGAAAATGCCTGAATGAGCCGCGTCAACGGGTCGGGAGATTTGCGTTGGTCATTTACCGACCCGGGTTCGTGGACATTGTCAACTGCTACAATGATGTTTCCTGCGTTATCGAGGGATGTAACCCCAAGTGCATTACCAGAGAGACCAACGGGGCTCTGCGCGACCATCTTACCGTCAAGGCTAACAGTAAATGGAAAGAGTTTTGGAATCCTAGTGTAGAGGACGTTAGCATCTAGGAGTGCATAAGTAGGCAGACTAATTGCCGATTGCTTACCCCTCCAAAGTAACGATAACCACACCCGGTGTCTTGTTTCGCAACGACTCCTTCTCTGCAAACGATACTGGCCAAATCCCATTCACAGCCACTTCGGATGCAGAGATATTCTCTGCTCTTTTATCACTGGAGTCCGCTTTCGAGGCTACCATGTCATCACCATCTAAAGGAATTCGAACCTTTTGCACAAGTTCACCTTTCGCCCAGCGCCACACTAGAAGATAATCGTCGCCCCCACCCGAAATCAGAGTCGAGGTATTCCATGGCAAGACGCATAATTTGCTCACGAAAGCCGTATGACCCAGGCAATAGCTCTGAATTACATGAGTCTGAGGGGGCCCCCTGGAAACGCGAATATGCTCATCTCGATCCGCCGTTATTATGTACGGATGGGGAACAGTGGATTCAGCGTCTGTGCTTAAATTCACGTATGCGACATCAGTGAGCATAGACACATGCCCTAGAAGGAGTTTGAGTTCAAAGAGAGGTCCGATTTTCTCAGATATGGTCGCGCCACGTTTTAGCTGCTGTTCGAGCGCCTGTAAATTTCGCTTTGTATGGACAGTGAGTGCTGAAGCAGACGGCTGGGCTGGATGTGACGCCTGGGAACTTTTCTTGGGATGTGGTTTGTAGTCATTCCTAGGGAATAATGGCAAAGAGTAGACATCTCCGAATTTGTCTCCGCATAGGATCGTGGATTCATCAGGTGATAGAACGACTGCGCATGGCCGTTTGGGCATACATCTACATTTCTTGTTAGCATACCTTATTAATCATTTTCTTTTCTTTTCTGAAATAGTGTTTATTTCTCTATATTAACGCATACCGTTCGCTTAACTGGGAGAGAACTCCATTTGCCTCAACCGTAAAGACTCGTATAAACTTATCCTCTGCGGTAACGGCAACGATATATTTACCAGACTTCGAAGGTGTCACGATCGGGATTGTCGACCATGCCAGCTTCGAGTCTTGCATTTTGTCTGGCCCATTGGTTTTGGTATTGAATTCTTCATTCCCCCCAACTCCAAGGCTGTTTTCTGAGGGAGTTCGAGATAGTTTCCGCTTCTTCTCTGGAGGTTCACTGCTCTCAGCTCCGCCACGACCGGGGGAATCAGAGCTTTCTGCATACATGCCCTTGGTCTCTGGTACTACAGGTGAAGGCCAGACTGATAGCCGATTCCCTGTTCTGCGGTCCAGGACGTATAGCCTGGGACCAGCAGCGGCAACAAGAAAACTTTTCGCTGGTGGGCCCGACTGTTCAAGGCATTTTACGCATTGGAATGGATGTTGGAAGCCCATGATGCGGTAATTGGATTATGAAAAAATATGTATGTTTTTAATTGGTGCCGCATCTGTTAAATATGTAGGAGCGAGCGTTCGTTAACTATAATTTTTACATCACTAACTACAGCAGTTAGTTTGTTACCGCAGTTGCGGCACTGAGATCGAGTCTTGGCGAGCTGAAGTAAAATTGCCCCAATTCTTAGAAGTTCAATGTGGAAAATATGACTTAAACGGAGACAATAATAGTATTAAAAAGATGATATGAGAAAAAGAACTCCGTATATATGAATTAAATTCAGAATATGCCTCCGTACCTAATATACGGATGAAATAATCGAAGTTCGAAGGATTGACCCTTATCAGATCAAAATTCACGTGACCACGTCTTGGCCCTCGTTAGCCGAATCCACAAGAACAAAGTTCCGAACATCAAAATCCCGAAGAAAAGACCAAACGACCACCAATCCGCAACCGCATCTCTCCAATTCCTACCAGCAATTTATTATATTGCCCTTAAATATCCTATCTTCAACTAAACAAGAAGACATGGGGGGCAAGACCGCGAGCAAAACCCAATACTTCGAGAAACTGAAGGGACTGCTGGATGAGTATCGCTCGATTCTCATCGTCAATGTCGATAATGTCAGCTCCCAGCAGATGCACGAGATCCGCCACAGCCTGAGAGGCGAGGCGGTTGTTCTCATGGGAAAAAATACCATGGTGTGTTAAGCAAGATCAAACGACCTCTAACGGCGGATTGCTGACAATCTTTTTTTGCCAATTGCAGGTTCGTCGTGCCATCAAAGGCTTCGTCGTCGACAACCCGGAATATGAGCGTATCTTGCCTCATGTCAAGGGCAACGTTGGCTTCATCTTCACCAACGCGGACCTGAATGAGGTCAGACAGAAGGTTGTGTCCAACAGAATTGCTGCTCCTGCTCGTGCCGGTGCC